GATACTTCGAAGCCTTCAGGTCATCAGGGACAGCCTTCTTCGCTATCCACGTCGACCACCTTCGCAACAAGCTGAGCCAATGGACGTTGATGCCACAGACCATGTGAGTGTTGCTTCCTCGGACCGACGACCCAAGGCCAAAGCCCGACCGCGACGCGGAGGCGAAGCCGTTCGGAGTGATGTGGTCTTGATCCGTTACGAGAACAAGCACAACCTATGCACGGAGGTGGAGAACCGTCGAGGCTTACATGACGCTTGTGGCGTACCGCTGCGGGAAATGGGACCCGAGAACAGTCAGCGGGTGGTGGATCTCATTGAGCAGCTTTCGGACCATCGTGACCGACGGCTACCTCAACGAGGAGATCGTCCAAGCTTCGAGTATGATGAGAATACTCAACAATGGGCAAACCCAGGCTACGAATCCATCGGCGGCGGAAGGCCAATCCGATGCGGAATTCTTGACCTGATCCCAACCAAGGGTGCAAGCTTCATCAACAATCGATGGGACATCGTGAATGAAGTTGTCCTTCGCAACATCAACCATCATCGAAGAAGAAACGCAGAGTGGGCGCTATCCTGCATTCAGTCTGACTTGCGCCACAGAATTGCCAGGCGCCCAGGTTCCGAATGGCTTGACAACCGGTGCCAAGTGGCATTCAGCAGCGTTATTCGATGTGATGAAGGAGGGTGGGTGCTGATAGAGGACTTGGTGAGGCATGAGCAACTATGGACCCACGAAAGTAGACGCATTACCGAAGCGGTATCAAGGACCGACGAGTTCCAAAGGAAGAGAGTGTACAATGAGAGACTGCAGCTACTGTTCCAGGGGAATATGCTTGCAGCCACGAAACGCCACAGGGCCAAGATCCGGCTACAATTCCTGGGTGTGAGAGTGAAGAATCCCGGCACAGAGACTCTTGGATCTGCGAACTCGAACATGTTGGTGTCGGTTCCCGATCAGATTACAGAGATCCAGAACAACGACCGTACCCGACACAATCAGAGGTACCTGAACGTTTGCAATGGCTGGGTGAAACCATGGGCTGTCAGGGCCACAAGTGGTCACTCTACGCACTCCGATCCCCAGAACAATTTGCTTCAGTTGGACAAGGACCGGTTCGCAATATCTCCATCTATGACCCTCTTGACACGTCTCGGGGGCGCGTTCCACGCTACGGCATGCCGCAACTTGGATTCCATCGTTCTGCAGGGCGTCATGCCTGGTTCGGAGGATCCTGACGGGGACTTCGAACAGCGGCGTCGATTCCAGGACAACCGAGGTGGCAGACTCCACAGTTACTGGGGGGTATTTGCGCCGTTCGATGATCGGAACGCAACGACCAAAACTCGGGTACACGGGCCGCAAGCCAAGCACATGCCTCTTGTGGTCCTCCATGTTGCTTCGACAGATCTTGCCCGAGAAGGTGGACGTATCACTGACAGCGGTGTCATCATCCTTGGTCGAACGATACCGTTCCAGTTCGTGAAGGAGGTATGGTTTTGCGTCCCGAATCCTCAGGATTCACATTCGTTCGCTCTGGTGGAAAAGATCTATGATGAACGATTGGAGAAAGAGATGGTGTTGGACTACAATGGATCTCCATTGCTTCCTGAATTCGAGAGATATCGAACGCCGAGCAAGATCATGGAATTGCTTTGCGAGATGCCTCCTGGACCCCATGACACAAGCAAGGATCAGATAATGCGAGACCTTATCACTGTTTTGGAGGCCCACAGGGAGAACACAGTTCGACATCACTACATGGACAAGGGCATCAAGTTTGTCATCAAGAACTGGCGACCCGAAGATCTACGAAGAGATGAGGATGGCAGGAGAATGAGGGTATGCCCAGCGTGCTACAACATTGTTCCAGCATGCTTTTCTCGATGCACATCCTGCTGGTCACAATTCGTTTCTTGCGGATACTACCAAGGTACTCCACAACGGGATACTCCTACGGAGATCCCAAGTGACTTCATTGCTCAGACGATGGAAGCTGCGGCAGCAGCAGTGCCTGAAGCAACCGTCGAGGAACAGGAAGCCATGGAAGCGGAATCGGTTGCGGAACCCGAAGCAATTCCAGAACCGTCCGTTGCTGGTGATGACGACCCAGAACAGGAACCTGATGAAGAAATGGACACGGAACCGGGAGAGGACTTTGACGACCAAGTACCAGATGCAGTGGCACAGGAACGACGTCCCGTCCTCATCGCCGGTCAGTCTCTGAACATCGACCCTGAGCTGCAAATCGCCCGCACTGCCATGCAGCCGCCCTACCACCACGGCAAACGGAACGCCCATTGCATCGACGCCAACATGGCCGCTCTATCGTACATGGCGTTCGTCGTATGCAGAACCATCTACAAAGCTTGGTCAGGATTCGCGAAGTGGGCGACTATGCCATTGTTTCAGATGAGAGAGAATTTCGCACTTGGCCAACGCTATGATGTGCTCGGGAATGGGGAAGTTTGGCTGGGGTGGACAAAGAAACAGGTGTGAGCAGGGACGTGACTGACGAGGAGATCATTCGCTTCGCCAAGGAGCCTGAAAACCTCAAGTCGTATGACCGTACGGGACTTACACTTTGAAGCGCTTCCGGACGAACCAGCTGCTTTCGCTATTGACACGGGGAGCCAACATGATGGGAATCGGCAGAGATAACTTCAATCCAACCACGTACTTGAAGAGCAACAAGGATGAAGACGTGAAAGCAATGCACTTTTGTTGCCTTAACGTCCTATGTGAAGTTATCCCGATGGTGACAGGACATCAACAGTTTTCGGTACTACGAAACACGCCAACTGGACCAGTGGACTTTCTGTACATCGACCCCGTCGGCATCCTCTTGACTCATGCAGACTATTCCGTCCAGACCGTCGGATTGCTGGTGGACCACAACGTGCAAATGCCAGCGCACTTCATGGACAGATTGGTCAAGTCTAGGGTTCAGAGACAGCAAAATCCGAATACTCGACGTCCTCAAGCCTTACATCACATCTCGGCTGAAGAGTATCTCCCTGCGGGCGGTACTTCCATCATGGACACGCCCGTCACCACGGAGGAACGTGCAAGCGCTTCTTCGGCAAAGGGACCTTCAAAAGGGCGTGAGAGGACCGGAGATGAGCAACATGGTGGCTGGAATGCCAATACCTACCAAGACTACATCGCCGGCAAAGGCCGAAACAAAGGCAAGGACAAAGGAAAGCAAAGGAACCAGTATCCAGAGGAGAACCTCCGGCCCTGGGACCGCGATGCTACGTCAACGCGAAGATGGCGGTGAGACAACACATGATCTACCTCATCTTCAAGATTGTGACCTCCGTGCTTCGCTCGTGGAATTCCATCGCGAATGCCTCTTTCTTCGGCGACGCCTGATTCGTTTGCCATTTCAGGGGATCGTTACCGACGTAGATGAGTGTCACAACGTTTCTAATTGGGATGCAAAAGCTCTGATCTATATGTATCAACGTTGCGGCGGAACAAATTTTCTGACATTCCTATCGTGCCATCTTCCGGGTGAGCAGCGTCGGAGACGCAACTCATGGGGGGTGCGAACGGACTGCGATGCCTTGTCAAGTTCCAAGGTGTCACTATAAGAGCTGTGAGCAAGACCATGTAAAGTGCAAGGGAAGGGGGCACGCTACGCGTCCCTCGTCTCTAGGAGTAGGCTTGTGGTAGTGCTACGCACACCGCAATGCCTATCCATCCTTTCAGTATGACCGCCCATGCAACGTTTGGCTCAAGAATGAGCACAAGCTCTAGAAAGCATTGCCCATAGCTAAAGTGCTATTATCTTTGTGATCCTCAGAGTAGTCGGAGCTATCCCGTGCACAGACGATCCACCGCCGGCCGTGAGTGTGCAAAAGGAGCGAACAGTGGATCTGCCTGCATAGGAGTGCGTGTGTGGAAGTGGAAGTAACGGTGATCCAGCTTGTAGAGGGCAACCACGCCAACAGTCAATACAGCTCTTTGTGGGGTGAGCGATACAGAGAATTACCAGGATCAAATCCCCACGCAGAAATAGTCTTAACACTAGTATAACTATTGTTATTGTCATTAGTAGTAGTATTAGCAATTTATAGAGATGAGTGTGATAGAGGTAAGTTCTAGTCCAGTTCAGTGGGCCCGAAGGATGAAGGAGGTTCAGCGTTCTTGTGCAGTGGAAGAGAACCAAAATCACAAAAACCAAAAAAAACAAAAAAAACAAAACCAAAAAAAACAAAAAAAAAACAATTTTCAGAAAATCTTCTGTAAGTAGCATTATCCCGAACTCTTGATCAAGACTGTCTGAAAATTGATTTTTTTGTTTTTTTTGGTTTTGGTTTTTTTGGTTTTGGTTCTCTTCCACTGCACAAGACAACCCAAACCCTTTCCCCAAACCCTAAAACCCTTCCGCCCTTGAAGACGATGCGATACGCGTCGTCGTCGTAGTGTGTTGCTTCGGTTTTCGTGAACGAAGTTGAACAGCGAAAACGCAGCGGTCAAGTTCAGGCCTCGAGCCGGTTTTTTGGTTTCGCTATGTAAATCCAAAAAACCAAAAAACAAAAATCCAAAAAAGCAAAACTGTCCCTGCATTCTCCGTGAAACTTTGGTTTTTTGATTTTGGCGGGACCCTTGTGGGCCAGACCGGCTGGGGTTGTGGGCGGTGCATTAAGCAAATTCCGTAGTTCCCGGTTTGGGGGGCCCAAACCGGGTGGGTTTGCCGGTGGTGCATTGAGCAAATTCCGCGGTTCGCGGTTTGGGGGGGCCCAAATCACGTGGGTTTGCCATTGGTGCATTAAGCAAATTCCGTGGTTACCGGTTCGGGGTGGCCCAACCCGGGCCCATCAGCGTACGCAACCTGTGCCCCAAAAGCCGCGCTAACAACCCAGATAAGCAGTATTACAAACTACACAATCCACACGAAGCGATCAAACATCAATGGTTCGATGATGCTTTTCCCACTGCGCAAAACTGCCTCGAAGCTTTCCGGCCTTACACTCGCATAATGAGGAATTCTCTACAGTTCAAACAAGTACTGCAGCATATTGCCCGCAGCCTTCCAGGCATTCTGGCCTTTCGTCCAATACGTAAACTGAGCTGCTCTAATCTTCCGTCGAAGAATCACATTGCCAGGCTTGCGTTGCGTGTATTTTACATGTGCCCGCAAGTGACCCCAAAACCTGTCGATGATTTGCGTCCCTGACTTCACTTTCAATGTTTTCTTGTTCGGCATCTTCAACTTGTACACCTTGGTGAAGTGGGGCTTCACCCAAACGGCCTGCAGGGTGTTTCAACAAATAGTATAACAAAAAACCTTAGTTAAGCACCCACCTTCTTGTTGATAATGATTCGTTTTTCTTGTGAACGACATTGCAGTGCATGACACCGGGGATGCGAAGTTTGTAAGCACGAGCGCCATCTGTGTGCAAAACCACATGCCGATCACGAAGAAGCTTGTTGCCGATGTCACTCCAATCCCGTTTGCGAATTGGTCCGGGTCCGGGTGCGCGAGGTGCTGTCAAAGGCGGCTCCAACCGAAACATGACGACGGTCGCCCCCGCTCCACCATCCCACACCATTGCTCCCAACGGAGCTTGGGCTTCTGATCACTGTCCTCCTCGAGGGCCTTCCCTACATCCACCTCGTCAGCCTCAACATCCCTCCAAAGATCACCCGATGCACTGCCGTAGGTAATGGACTTCTCCTTATGCTCCACATATCGGGCTCTTGCGGCATCCAAGTTGTTGTACACTCGTTCTACTGCTTTGTGGTCTGTGTTCAAAATCAGGTGGGCGGAGTTCACCGAAACCCCTGCGAGCGCAGCATAGAAGATGCAAACCTGGACATGGAGAGGTGTCACCGATGAGCCTGAACCTCGAAAGAAGATCGGATGGAAATCGTCTGGCTGAAGATACTTCTTACATCCGCGAGATGAGCATTGATGCATCCATGTTTTGCGGGATTTGACGAACTTCAACTTGCTCAGCTTTCCCATGCCACAACGAGGACATACATGGCCTTTCCACTTAGGAAGGATACCATCCCGTTGGAGTGTTTGCAAAAGCTTCTTGTAGGGCATAGCCGAGAAATTCTGGATTGAATGGCCCCACCGTGCGCGATGAGCCCTGGATTTCGTAGTAATTTCCCCATGACGGACATAAGACACTGTAGTCGAGCTCTTCATGGTCTTCGATGCCGGTTTCTTGATATTCGCCTTGCGCTTGCCCCTTTTAGGGGTGGGCCATGGTCCTTTGGACTTGGCCTTGAGGCCTTTGGGATACGTCTTCTTCGGCATGGCTTTGAAGCGATGAAAATTATTCGAACACCCAAAACTGCGAGCGAAGAACATCAACGGATCTGTTGCAACATCGGTTGTCGTGTCATGCCCGCTTTGCAAGAGCACATCCTAGCACGAGTGGTTCCCAATACATGTTTCCAAGTCCAAAACCGTGCGAGGTCCGCGGGCGTAAAGTTTGTGAGACTTTCCAAAACTCGAAATTGCCACACCGTCGCGAAAGATGTCAAACATACTCTTATGTACGAGTTTGATAAAGACACATGGCGGCCCTTTACAGCTATAAATGCTAGCAGTGGGAACATACCGACGAGTTGCAGCACCTAATCGCAATATGCCACACAAACTGGCTCCTTACTGCGCTCATACAGCGCCTGGGGGACACAAGGCTGCATCACTCACTCATCCACATCCATGTCCGACCCCATTGAGTTGCGGTCCCCGCTTTCGGTGTGCGCCATGCTTTCGTCCATGTTGGCCATGTGGTTTTCCTGCTCCTTGTCCTCCGTGATTCCCCCGTCCGCATTGCCCCCATTCATTTCTTGTTCATCAATGAGCATCTCCAAATCCCTGACAAGGTCGTCGTCCTCCGCACTGGGCTTACCTACCTCTGCTTTCACATTCTTCTCGGGGGTGTCCTCGATGTCGATGGTGAGGCCGTTAGGGGTTGAGGCCAACGTAGCAAAGAAGTTTACTGTAAGCTCTTGCTTGATGGAGTGCACACAGTTCGGCTTGGGCTTGGGGGAGGGTGAATCTTGGATTTCGATGGGCCGACCGGCACACTCATCAGCCACCCGACGGGCTTGCATCGCGAAGCCTTGCTGGGTGGACTCCCTCTTCACTCTAATTGGGGTGGAAGGATGCTCCAGCTTCACCGAAGGAACCGTGGAAGGGACAGGATCACGAACAGGAACCGGGACAGGATCACGAACATGCTGTGGAAACTCACCCGTGAGACTGCGACACAACTCAGCATTGGGTCTGGAGGTGGTTTCATCGCTGTTGTATGTAGGTGTAGCCGAGGAGGATGCCACATTTGAGAACAAACTGACTCCTCGCAGAATTGTTGGCCTGCTTGGCAATTTTTTCTCACCCGCCATGGCGTTGCGAACCCAATCAGCTTCCCACTCAACCTTTTTGTTGAAATCTGCGGGCAAATCCTTTCCTCCCTTCCTGTGGTAGTCATAAACCATGCGAGAATCCAGATGAAGAAAGTCGGTTTTGTCACCCAATGGAATGCGGAGCACTGGATTTTCATTCTCGGATGCCGGGCGGATGTAGAGCGAAGTGGCGGTGTTGACGACGATATGCGTTCTTTTCAAAACAGCCATCACATTCGACTCGGATGCCTCTTTGCTGTACCATGCGGATTCCAACATCTCGAGGAAAACCTTATGTGCGATGTAGGTGTGACGACCTTCCTGGATGTCGAGGAGGGGTTGGTCGAGGGCTGGCTCGGATTTGATGTCGAAGTCGTTCACACAATAGATTCTCGCCTGCCCCCTGACCCACTTAGCTGCCCCCCACCTCTCCTTGGACATGGATTCGATGTTTCCGACGTCTGTAAAGGCTTTCACTTTCTTGAAGGGTTGCTCTGAAAGCGTGCCGTCATCGAATATGTCGGGCCTGGTGAGCGTACCGGTTTGGCCTTAACGAAGGAAGCATATGACATGCTATTTGGTTTTCTGTATGCATAAAGCCAGTCCAAAATGATTTGCATGTCCAACAAAATGGTAACTTGTTATACCTATTTTGTATCATACAGATTCTATGTGCCTGTATATGTATATGCATACCAGGAACCGCGGAAAACATCGAACTCGGATGCTTGGCGAAATCATGGGATTACCTTGCCCGTCTGCCCCAACTCCGCGATCCAATACCGAGAGAGCGCCATCGCTATCGTTCGTGCCACCGGGGTTTTGCCTCTGCCGGGGATCCCATGGAAACCGATTGCCTTCTCTTGCAGCGTGTTGAACAATCTGCCGAGGGCTTTGAGGATGCGTACATCAAGGTCGTAAAGGGTCAGGGGCCAAACCTCGTGGACCTTTGCGAGGACACCGTCTTGACAAAGGTTGCGAAGGCTTTTCTCCACTAGAACAGGCGACCACTTGTAGATGGGGGAATCCTTCTGGCTTGTCTGAACAGTGATCCATCTCAATGCACGATTCTTGACATGATCATGAGGGCCTTTCTCCTCAATGAAATCAAACCCGTAATCCCACTCCGCTTGGGTGCGCTCGACGTCCGACATCCGGCTTACCCTCTTCGACGGTGCGAAGTGTGTGCTGTCGAAACTGATGCCCGCCAAGTTTCTCGAATATGAAGTGCACGCATTTCTTCATGGTCTTAACCTCGCCTGCCCAATCCACCGCATAAGGCTTTCCGTAACACATAGAACGAGCGATGTCGACTTTCACCTTGTCTTTGAGGTTGATGATTTTTACTGCACAAAACTTTTCATTGTCCTGTTTCAGGATAGCGAGGTCAAGCCTGACAGGTGCTTCAGTCGGTCGTGCTACACCAAATGGTTTAGGGAGTGATGGCACGGATTTGTCCTGCAACGCCTTTGTGATGCTTGTGACGGGGCACGCGGGAATATCCATCACGATGTCGAAGAAACACTTAGCCATCCCTGTGCTGGGCATGTCGACAATCGGGAGATCCAACACGTCAGGGGGCCAAGCGGGAGGTTCGAAATCTCGTGGGGGTCGCACGGGTAGAGTTTCAACTTCCCCACTTCAGTTTTCACCTCATGTTGAAGCTTTCTTCTATACAAGCTAAAAACAGAACAACCGCATCAACATAGTTCATGACAACAACGTGTACACACACACACATAATCACATTCACATATATTGGATGCTTAGCAAGTGGCGTCATCCAACGACATTTGCCAGCATTCGCCATGCTGAAGATGATGATGACGATGGAACTGCTACTTTCAGACGCTGCTAGTTCGAGACGACAGATGGCTTGGGTTTCTGCGGCGATGCGGATCTTTATCTGTCAAGACTACTCTATATAAGTCAAGCGAACATGTGACTCTATTGCTGCTCCACCCTTCCCCTTCCCCACGACCGTCTGTCATGGGGGGGGGGTGAGCACATATATATACATTGCACCCGGAGGGGGGGGGGGCTTGAAACGACCTGAAGCCGAAGACGCTTTGCGAAGCCGAATTGCTACTTAAAGGGCCCAGTAGGCGAAGCCGAATTAGGAGGCGAAGACGCATTGGGACGCGAAGCCGAATTAGTACGCGAAGCCGCTTTGCGAAGCCGAATTAGTACGCGAAGACGCTTTGCGAAGCCGAATTAGTACGCGAAGACGCTTTGCGAAGCCTAATTAGTACGCGGAGACGCTTTGCGAAGCCGAATTAGTACGCGAAGACGCTTTGCGAAGTTGAATTAGGACGCGAACACGCTTTGCGAATCCCCAAGCCGCGTGGAGAATATCTACTTACCCACCTGTCCTCTTGGAGATTCCCAGAAGGGGCGCTCCCCTAAGGGGTGCTCCGCTAGGGCTTCCACGGACTGAGAGGCTTGCTTCAAACTCGGAGAACAGGTTACAGTAACCGGTGTAATTTATAATCTCTGGTGAGATCGGCAATCCTTGTCTGCGGAGAGCAATCTGGTAAGCTGCATGGGCGCGCTGTAGTGGAGTGATTAGAGTGGTGTTTGTTTTTGCTCGGACGGATCATGAGACCATGATGCTGGATGTGAGCAGGCTCAACGTGTAAAGATAGATGGATTGCGAACTTTGATGAGACTAGTATCACGGCTAATGTGCAGGGACAATGTGCACACTACGGACTCTCAACCGAGATCCTCGCCTGCCTGTCGAGTGCGAGTGCTAAAAAAATAATCTCTGGTGCAGCAACCCGGATGCTGCCCCCGGCTCAAGCTCTTGCGGGTTCATGCGCTCGGCTGTTTCGCAGAGCAAACTTATCTCATCGTGGCAAGTTCAGTTATTTCTTTATACCCCAGCTTCCAGGGCGAACGAGGCTTCCAGTAGAAACTGCACCTTCGGTGTTCATCACATCGGCTCCCTGACTTTGCTTCCGAAGCTACACACGAAAGTATTGCTTTGTCAGGGGCCTTAGCTACGGAGCGAACCGCCGCAGAAAGGGTTCTTGTCATGTCATCTCGGTTAGAATGACTTCTTGTCTTCCAGCGTTCTTGGGTTTTGTACACACATAGGCGTGTACAGTGGCAAACCAGTAACTTTCACCGTCGAGGGTTGGTCTGCCGGGCAACGCTGATTGTGTAGTAGCAGTATAGACAAAGAAGCATTTGCGCGGAATCTGCGTTATCGCTGCAAGTTGCTGTTTCTGGCACGACTTGGCTTGTGTGTTTGCTTGTGGGACACTATGCGGCCAAATCTACCGATGTTTCCCCACCCTCGGTGTGGGATTTTAGAGCCAGCTCCTTGCGCCCACTGAGACTACCTCCAGAGACTTCTGGAGTGCCCATCGCCAGAGACTACCGCGAGACTCCCTGAAGTGCCCAACCCCATGCACAGTCTACCCTGAAACTCCCTGGAGTGCCCGCGAACACTCGAGCGCTTACGCCTCGCCGTGCTTCGGTACATACGCGTGTTTCTGTTGGCTCAAACCCTCCCTTTCAACCGGCCCCCTGCCCCCCTGGTTTCTAGGGTTGGCCACGAAATGGTGATGATGCTGTATGATGCCGATATGCTCTTGGTGCGGAAAAATCCGGGTTGTTTTGTCCCGGCGCAGGTGATTTTTGCCTGTGTGTTGTGGTCAGTCCTAGAAAGTTCCTCTAAAGCCACGCTAGCATTTTCCCCAAAACCCTATATGAGACATAACTATATACATTTTGTTTTTTAAGGGCCATGGAAGGGGAGCCGCAGGCTCTTAGGCCCCTGGCCCTGGGGCTCCCGACCCCCAGTCGGTATATCACAGACTGGGGGTGGGAGCTCTGCTGTAACTAGATATAGCAAAAATTGCCTTAATTCAATGCCGCGTAGCGATATAAAACTGCTTATAACAAAAATGGGTGGGCCCGGCCTGGTGAGGCCCTGGGCCACCCCCCGGCAAGCGGCACCGGGTAACAAGAACGCGCACGGGGTCCTTTTTATCCAGTTTTCTTCTAGGCGGCATTGAGTTAGGAACCCTAATCCCGTAAAAACTGAACTCATGCTCACTGTTGCTCGCCTGGGGGGCCCCAGTCCCCTGCCTCCTGACCCCCTCCCCCCCACCTCTCTGGTACATGCAGAGGCAGAATTGTGCCAACTATAGTACCCAATGCCAAAATTAGAACCTGAACGAACTGGACTCAGGAGTGCAGAAATCGAGGGTGTGCATGTATCAACTTTTTGGCGTCCACCATATTTTTATAGCAGCTATTTAATATTGTGCTCATCCAAACGGCATTGCGAGCCAGTTTTTGAGATGCAGGACTGTCACAAAGACACGGGGCATGTTGTTGACTCAAAGACCCATCTGGTCGTCCTGTGTGGCTTGTGTCTCGTTTTTAGATTTGTTGGAGGCTCCGTTTTAGCAGTCCGACGTCCAGGGAGCTATATACCCCGAAGCAATCCGGTTCCACCATAACTTCATGCATGTTTTCTCCATGTCTTCTCTTTGCTGGCGATATCCCAATGGCAATTAATGGGCTTTCTTCAATTGGGTTTAAGGCCCAGCGTTTACTTTTCTTTCCTATTTTTTAGGTCCTCTATGGTCCCCTAATCACGGGAAGCTGGGCTTAGGGTTTAGGTTAGCGCTAGGTTAGGTTGTTTCCCCTCCCCAGAGGTGCCCCCCCACCTCCAAGCGTAATGATGTCCATATCATCCATGGCCCAACCTTGATGACATCCACGCTGGATTTTCCGACCGGTCCAGTCAGAATGAAAAGGCTGCCTCGGAATGGAGGCTTTTGGAGGTAGATGCACTTCTTGCCAGAGGTGCTCCTGCCCTGCATCGGGAGCACGCATGGACATCGAGTCCTTTACGTGAGTGCATTGTGTTGGCGTTGAGTCATGCAACCTGTCAAGGCTTATTCGCTGACTTTGCTCAAGTGCGCACTAGATCCGTGACTGTGGATGCAGCTCCCACAGGGACTGCAATGCGCGCCAAGCACAGACCGCTGCGCCGCCAGCCTGCCAGAAGCCGTTGCAAGTTGAGACTGAACGTTTCTAGAGCCTTGCGGAAGGGGGTGCGGGGCCGCAGCGAGCGTGATGCGGGAACCCGTGTGCCAGACTAGTGCCAGAGCCGCCTGTTCCGACCGACATGCTAGCCCGACGCATGCTGGCTGGCAGGACTCTGTCCGTCTTGCAATCTTTGGAACGCTCCAACTTGTTTAGAACGGAGTCCTCAACCCAAGCCAGAACTGCTGCGTTGCAGCCCGCAGTTGGTCTAGCTGCCAACCTCGGCAACTCCTCCGCTTATCCTCCAAACTTTCCGGCGCCACGGGCAGTGCAAGGCGCATGTTGTGCCTGTTGTACCCACCAAGCACAAGCGCCCGCCACACGGCGCGACTCACGTGCTGAACCGGCGGCATGGCCAGACCCGCGACTCCGACCAGCTCCACGGCGTGGCCCTGCGTTGGCAGGTCGTGGGCTATGTGCGGGACTCCGTTTATCTGCAGGAGTTCACCCAGCAGCTGGGCGTCAGGGGGTAATTCGGCTTCGCAATTCGGCGTCACGGGGCAATTCGGCTTCACAATTCGGCGTCAGGGGGTAATCCGGCTTCACAATTCGGCGTCAGGGGGTAATTCGGCGTCACGATTCGGCGTCAGGGGGTAATTCGGCTTCATGCCGTAATTCGGCGTCAGGGGGCAATTCGGCGTCACTGTGCAATCCGGCGTCAGACGAGGCGGCGTCACAATGCGGCGTCACCAACAGCAATGCAGCTTCACCCATTCGGCTTCGGCTTCAGGTCGTTTCAAGCCCCCCCGCCCCCGGGTGCCCTGTATATATATATATATATATATATATATATATACGTATAGAATGAGTTGGGGCTTTTTATTCTGAATATCAGTTTCTGGTGGTTTCAGGCTTGAGTTTCCGAATTTCGAGTGCTTGGATGTCTACTGCCAGGCAAGGGTACGCCTCTAAGCAAAGGCATGGGGCAGGGCAAAAGAGTGCTAGCCTGGGAGTTCCGGTTTCGAGACAGCAATTACTCGCCCTAGCCTGGGAGTTCCGAAAACGCCACGCGCGACGTTTTAGGTGTGTTCACTCGCTTGGCTTGTAATTCTGGCTCGAGACAGTAATGAAACATGCAAGATATTCCGGAACTCCCAGGCTAAGAGGAGTGAAAGCACGTAAAGTCCCGAGGCTAGGGTCAGCAAAAGCACCAATCCGCACCCAGTTGGCTTTCCCCGCACAGCGTTCTTTCCGCACCCGGTCCAAAATAAGCCCCCGAATATTAACAGCTCTGTTGCCTCGGACCTCGGACGGCGTTCCCTCCAAATGTCCGCGTTCCAATTGGGAACGCGTGCCCTCGCCTGGTAATCCGGGATTTGTTCCAATCGCCTCATGCCGATCCTACCTGCGCCCTAATTCAACATGCCTTTAAATCTATTAATTTGGGATTTTTTGCTCAAGACTAGAAATTTTTTCGGCCGGGGAATTCTTTATGTTAAGGGGGCTTATTATGCGGATGAAGGGTTTGATTTCGTAATATG